TACGGTTAGGGGGAGCGTTGAACCAGGAAAGTCGAGCGATCAAGGAAGGAGTGCAGGGAACAGGACCTGTTACACACGCGATGCATTGGGAACCGCACGAGGCGCGCAGACCGCTAGATGCGACGTGCTGGGTACAGGTGGCCGTTCCCTGGAACGCTATCTCTGTGTCCGCTTTTGATTGGGTGTTGTGGGAGGCATAGGGTTGGCTAGGGAGAGGGCAAGCAGAGGGCAAGCAGATGGCAGGGAGGAAGGAGGGAATCGGCAAAGGCAACTGCATTCGGTAAATGAAATGATATCATGGGTCTAGACTGTCGGACCGGGATGTCCGACGCTCCATTGCTGGTTCTTTTCGTTGACGACTCGCCCGCGGACTTTGGTTCGACTCGTCCACGATTGCTCGCTCAAACTGCAAGAGACGCACCCGCGCCCGCCTCAACCCCAGCCCAGTTGAACGACGGCCATGGTACTACTAGGGTGCGTGTCCCAAGCAGTGCCAGCCTCTCGACGTTCATGCATTCATGCATCGCTGACGATCCTCCCTTCCTCGACCTGATCCGTCCACTATGGGCTCGGCGCACTGCTCCCTCCTGCTCATGTGCATGGGACGTGGATGTTGGTATGTGGTACGTTGCCCGCTCTTGTTCTCGTTATTATGCCCGTCTTTCCCCCTTCACGCCCTTCCATCCCTGCCCTTCTGCCCTCCGTTGCTCGTGCCCCGTGCCCCGCACCTCTCTCTCCCTCTCCGTATCTTCGCTTTTCACGAACGTCAGTGCTCACACACCCTCCAGCTTCTCGTGAGCAGCAACAGTATCTGAGATATACATATATCCTGACCGCCATTCCCCGAAGTCTGTTCTGCGTGGTGCGTCGAATCGACTTTATATTCTATAAAGCATCTTCTCAATAGCCACATTTGGTGGTAGTGTCAGCTCTATTTCTTGTGGGGCCATTTCCTATTTAGGACAATAGAACGCGAAAAATGGATCAGGTTTGTACAATAAGGACCCACATCTGAATTCCGTATCGAGGAGTGGTCCATTGGTGGTTCTCTACCGGGAATGTTAGCTGTGGTTTATTGTTCTCACTTAATTTACCGGCAGAAAAATGGAGCTGGATATGATAAATAAGTATCTGTTTCAGGACCAACAGCCAATCTTAATCTCGCAGCGTCACCTCGCAACAGAAGTTTTTCCTCCAGTGAAGAAATCTATCATAAAACACCAGGCGAAATGGAGTTATCAGACCTTAAGTCCATGCCTTCTCAGACGGGAGATGGTGACAATTTTTATCGCTACCGACCAGTACCTGGCGTTCGATGAAGAGCACGCAGGAAGGGGTATGGAGTGGTCCATCAAGGCAAAGACAGGAGGTGAACTATTTGCCACTATTACCAAGATACCGGAGCGTGAGGTTTACCAGGCGTGGGTGAGGGGAGGCTGTACCTCGGAGTTCAGATTGGATATAGTGGGATATAAAGCAGAGGAAATCGAGAAATTTCTGTAAGTGGTGTTGGTGTTTTCTCAGCCTTTATATTTCTGTCTCACAGAGGCTACGTACTCCAGTATCAGCTATCTGGAGGGCATGTTTACTCTGGAGAAGGATAAACAGCTTAAGTGGAGCGGTTCCAGAACCATCAAGTGGGAGTATTGCTGCAAGAAGGGGACCCTGAAGATTGAGAACCTTTGGGAGTTCACCGAGGAGGACCAAAAGCATGATTATGGGTACCAAAGGTACTGCATGGAGAGGCAACAGCAATCACCTGTGAGTGAGCCTGGGCTCCCGAGCGTGAGATTCCTAGGGCACAGATCCGATGAGAAAGAGTGGATACAAAATCGGATTGAAGCCTTATACATCCTCACAGCAGCCGTCGTGCTATATCGCGTTGTAATTGACACGTGGAAGCTGAAGGAATAGAGGCCTGTTGGTGATAAGTCGGCCTGCGGATTGGACTGTGTGCACTATGCTACGTCATGTGCTAGACAAAAACGCGACCAGTAGGCCGAAGTTGTGGAACATTATGTATTACCTGTGATAAATGCATCCCTCTTGGAGAGGTGTAAATAAATCTATTGTCTTAAAGACATGACCTTTGTATGTCTCCCCTGATTTATCCCTCTTGAAGATCCTCAAAATGAGTACCAGGGAAGCGGGTCACAAATGGGTATAGACGCTGCTGCGTGCCATTACTTATCAAATACCCATCATCATTTCGTGTTGCTCTCAAGCACCCCGGGAGAGGCAACGCACCACTTCCACCAATGCCTATGGTTTAACAAGATGACTATGACGAGGGGAACAGTCGAAAGTTGTCTCCTCTGGAGCACGACTTCAAAACTTAAAAAAATGCATCCTGAAAATCATAGTCTGGACAATAGATAACTTGGCCTAGATCTAGGACGCTAGAAGTTGTACATCACCTACAGGTGTATCGCATATTCATTACCTGCCTGAGAAGAAAACAAAAATTAAACGAAGCTGAAGGGCTGAATGGGATATGGAATGGGAACAGGCAAAAGAGATGAAAGAGAGGTGCACGCCACAGAGACAAAAGCGAAGCACGGTACAAACTGATCACGGAAGATATGTGAGAGGGAGGAGGAAGAAGGGGTGCTGGAGAGGGATGGAAGAGAAGAACGGCTTCAAAGAAGGAAGGGAAAGGAGAAATTGGGCAATCCATTCATGACCAAAGGATCGACAAGGAAACACAAGGTGCATTTATCAGAAAGACGCGATACTAAGAGAAAGCTCCGGGTAGAGAGAAGGCGAAAGATGAAGGTGCTAGAGAGGCAAGAGGAGCAACCACCCATGGTGACAACATCATAGAACCCGCCAACCAAGTTATCCTAGTAATTGCTGCATTCAATACACACGCGTCGCGCTGGCGCGAACTCGACATCCGCATTCCGACCTACTTCTTCGAGACATTCCATACGAATCCGTTGGGGAGATCATCGCTGGAATGCCTATACATCCATCCCCCAGATAGCAGAAACGGATCACACTGGCAAAATTTGTTCAATAAAGTAAAATAAAAATAAAAATTACGGTCTTCGCGTATTAAATAATGAATTGGATTTGACGAGAATCTCCTAATCACAGATCACACTTAAGCATGATTTCCACTTGACAGCCAAATTTGAGCCCCGGTATCGCAGACACTCCCCGGCACTGAGCGCGGTTGCGCTCTGCCCAGGAGTCTTCTAACCTGGATCCGTGTGGCACGTAATATGGCTCTGAGTAATGAACCCAGATTTCCAACTCAAAGTGCTCAAGGTGCGGGAAGGCCTCTCGGGTGATGACTTCGTCGAACCGGCTCAGGCAGCTCGTGAGCCTGTCATGGGCCTCCTTCGTAGTGTCGAAGTGAACCATGAGGTACTTCACGGCGTTCTTTCCCGCAAGGAACTCAAGTTCTTCGATAAACCCCAAGAACAGGTCGTACTCGTCGGGGTCTGGCACTGTTTGTGAGGCGGTTTCGTGTGAGAGCCTGATGGCCAGCGTTGTCAGACTGTGCTCGGAACTGCAGTCTAGCATCGCCTTTGCCAGTCCTGCGATCGATTTCTGTGGAGATTCGACTGCGTTTAAAAGGACAACACTTCAGCCGTCCATATTCTTCATAGAGCCATGATGATTCCACTTGCCTACGCATGCCAGGCCTTCGAGCTTGCTCGACGCCTTTATAAGTTCCTTCCCCATCGCACATTGTAGCTCGTTCCCCCAGCTGATTTGGAGAAATTGAAGCTGCTCAAAATCGAACACGAACGGGCGGGAGGCCAACACACCATCCATGTCGTGATCGTAGTACTGGAAATCCATGATCTGGGGGAGTCGTCTCTTGTTATTCTGCGTCGGGTCCATTCGTCTTGGAGTACCATTGGAATTTAGGCTTTCAGATCTTTCGACGGATTCTTGCTGTATCTTCACCTCGAGCTTCACCCTGGTGAGATCCGGGGACAGGGATACGAGACCCGATAAAGGCAGGTTCTTGATCCACAAGAGAGAAAGGGACTCGAGACGTGGAGCCTGAACGGTGTGCATGATGGACGAGCGCAGTCGTGCATCAAGCGTGTCCCAGTCGAGGTACGGCGCGCTTGGTGTCTTGGAAATGTATTCAACCTGGACGCCGGAGAGGTTGCCAGTGAGCTGGTTCAAGATCCAGTGAAGAGTCGTGTTCTCCGAGTCCGAGTCCGGGTCCTCTATGACGTAGCACACTCTACGCACAAACGTGGCGAGGTGGGGGGATCGGGTGAATGCATCTTTGAGGCGGGCAAGCGCTCCGGCTCTCCGTGACGGCAAGACAGTACATGTCCGGGGAATGTGGAGGTCGTTGAAGAGGACCCGTTGGGATGGCAGAGCGAGGGCACGGCAACAGCGAGAAAGGGCACGCAGGGCTTTCGCATTCGCCTTCGTGTTGGGTTTGAGCAACTTGACAATGAGCATCCAGATCTCCAGGGGCAGCGGCTTGCTTAATACACCCATTCTGAGCAGTGGTAGGAAAGGAGGTGGAAGGATGGGTTGTGGCAATAAATTTCGACCGGCGCTCTGGCTTTATAGAGCTCGGCGAGCCACATCAGAGCCATCGGGGCCACCGTTTGGCGGCCACATTTTAGGCCAAATACAGAATGAACACACGTTATGGAAAACCGACAGATCGAGAAAGATAAGATATCTGGTGGTCCTGAAGAAAGAAGAAAATGAGCAAGTGGTCCATTCTTTAACGAGTCAGTCCTAGGCCTGATCTTTACCCCATATCTT